GAAGAAGTTGAAATCTCTCGAAGCAATACCCTGTAATAGGGAGGGCATAGAAATGTACGGAGACAGTCTATCAGAGATAGAAAAAGAGGTTGAAGAACATGAACCAACAAGGCAGACTGTGAATGATCTCGCAGCACAAATCATCGAGATTCAACCATTCGATCTTGACTCCGTAAGAAACAAAGCCCAGGATGTAAACGAGAGAATGGATGCATTAAAGAATGCACTCAACGATAAAAAAGACAAGCATAATAAGATTAAAGATYTGTGGACAACKTATCAACAGTATATTGTTGCAGTAGAGGTTCTAGTAGTTGRAGGAATGGTGCTTTGTGCTTATGATACTCCAGCTCTTGATCTAACACGTCTGAAGGAGGAGCTACAGCTCATAGATGAGTTACTGTCCAATATTACCACCCAAGCACCAATGCTTAACGAGGTGGAAGATATTGCTCAGAAAGTGGTCGACCTTCTTGACRAGGATTCTTCGGATATTGTAATCATAAATGAAAGGGTTGCCAACATGTTTGTGCGATTTGAAGGTGTTCAGTCTGCCCTTGAAGCTCGCAAAACCAAACTAGAAAGTCACCTTGATTACCTAATACGGTTTAGTCAGTGTGAAGAAGACCTTAACAACTGGTTCGTGGCAATGAACAAAGTGATTGAGCAACTTGATCCTATTAGTACTGAGCCCGAAATCGTCAGGAAACAACTTACTGACGTTGAGGAACTGTTGGATAGCGTGCAGGAAAAGAGGCAAGTTCTGGACGATGAGCAGATTGCTGGTGTTAGGCTCATGGAATTGAACAAAGAAAACGAGAATGTAACAGTTGAGGTACGTACTATTGTTGTGTTGTTTCCTTCAGGGGCCCCTGCTATAACAGCGAAAAAAAGTATCTGGTATACCACACTTGCTCTTACAAAGTCATACCATACAATTCAGGCTTTTCCTTAAACTATTATTTATTTGTTATATTGTTATTGTACAATGGTAGGTGGTGACTATTTTGAGTAACGCACAAGCCAAAATGGATCGCATTGCTAACAAACTAGACGATCGTCGGGAGAAACTCCAGTCAATAATGTTAGAGTGCCAGGACATCCAGTTATCGCTTGCTGACTTCATGAATGACTTGGCAGCAATAGAGGAAGAATTCGCTGGAATGAGACCGGTGTCCGCTGTACATGATACACTCAAAGAACAAGAACGCGAATTCAAGGTACGCATCTTGGTATATGAATTCAATGGTTATTTGAAAATTTATAGTGCTATATCTGTACTACAAAAAATTTAAAATATCATTTTTGTTGTTCAATTTAATTAAAATACTTCTTGTTGTTTTGTTAGTTGCTATATTAGTAATTTTTAGTCAAGTGTCTTATAAAATATTTTTTGTTCAGATTTTAAAAGATGACGTGGGAGACCTTGAAGATCTGGCACAAGAGCTTRTAGCACGCACAGAACACCTCCTAGAAACCTCTGAGCCAAGCCCCGACAGGGACAACTTGCAGCAAAAACTCCAAGACATTAAAACAAGATGGGATTCTGTCAAGGCAAAAACTGCTGACCGCGAGGGACAGATCTCTGAGATCGCCCCAGGTCTTCACGATTATTATCTTCATGTTGATCCATTCGCCGAGTGGCTGACGAGTCTTGACAACAAGTTGTCTTCCCAAGAACCCGTGTCATGTGACAAGAAGACCATCGACAGACAAGTCGAACAAGCGAAGAAGCTAAAAGAGCAGTTGGATGACCACGTGCCCGAGTGCGAAAAAGTGAAGGAACTGGCTGCTGACATCGTTAAGAGCCAGCCTGATGACGTATATGTCGTGGAAGCACAGATTCTGTATCTTACAAAATTATGGGATAGCATTASCCTAAAGCTCAATAACAGAGTTCAACAGACAGAAGCAGTGAAAGAGCTCGTTCATCAGTATGAAGATATMATTATTCCAGTCAATGAGCTGTTTACGCGAGCTGAGGATGGAATYATTGCCATGGATACTGTTGGCTGTGACGTTGATAAGGCAAAACAGGAGCTGAATAATACCAAGGTAAACAATCTTTGACCTCAGTAAATTTGAATGAATATATTTCCGGCTMTTCTTCCTGAGAAATGAGAACGTCGTTTGTGAACTTTTTCATTGACGATTGTTGTAACGAATGTGTTCTTCATTTTTTGTAGTCATTGATTAACACACTGGAAAAMCGAAAACCAGAAGTACAACAAGCGGTTAAAATAGGACAGAATTTGATCACGTGCGCCAACAATGACTCGACCGATGTCAGCTTGCTCCGTAAAGAAGTGGGTGTGTTGATGGGAACTCATGCTGAGCTCAAGGAGTTACTTCAAGATCAGGAGGCAAAACTGCAGGCAATTGTGGACAAAGGGACGTTATTCAACAGTGAAATGAAAGACTTGTTGCAATGGGTGAACGAGGCAACTGACAAATTTTCTGATGACAAGACAATTAGCACAAATCCTAAAGTCGTCAACAAACAACTAGAGCAAATTGAGGTGAGTTAAATTGATTGAATACAAAACTATGCTAATGGTGCAGGTATGTGGACCTTTCCGTACTTGACTAAGTACTGCGAATAAAGTATTTAGGAAGAGCGTATTAATCCTTGGCAATCTTTGATTCCTTGCAGGACCTTCAAGATGACATCGCAAAACATCGCGYGACACTCGAACGCAATGACCAATTGGGAAGAGATGTAATTTCAGCCACAGGGGAAAATCCATTTGTTGTTGCCGAAGTTCAGTCAAAACTGACAAAAGTACGTGCAAAACTCGATCGTTTAGATAACAAAACTGAACAACGTCGTGGGGTTTTKCAAAGTATTTTGCTTCAACTTCAAGTATACCAAGTCACCCACGAAGACTTCAAGGCCAGTCTTGCTGAACTTGAAACCGAACTAGAAAATATTCGTCCAATATCTGCTATTTTCGCAGTAGTTGATGAACAGAAAGTTGAAGCTCAGAGTTTTGAAAACAGTTTAACGAAAAAAGAGCCAGTGTACGAAAAGCTAGTAGAGGAAGGACAAAGAATGCTTGAGAAAATGGTACCCGGTGAAGAAAAAGACGAGCAGCAAGTCCAACTTGATGATACAATGACGCGTTGGCAAGCTTTGAAGGACAATTCTGAGAAATTGCGCGATAAGATCGATGAGGTGCATGAAGTGGCAGGGCAGTATGATAGGAAGAGTGATAAATTCAAAGATTGGCTTGATGACACCGAGAAAAAACTAGCCAAGGCTAACACTAAGTCTTACACCCAGGACAAAGCTAACGAGACACTGGAGGAACTCAATAGAATACTAGAAGACGTGTTCTGTCATGAACCGCATTTTGAAGAACTCAGAGATGCCGCTGATAAAGATGTTGAGTCAAGTCAAATGGACGGGGATGTAGTCAAGGCGGAATTCCTGGAAATACARCATCGKTGGGATGMCCTTAATGCGTCTGCACTGAAAAAGAAAGAAGACGCAGAGCAKGTCAAGGAGGCTTTGGATAAGTACCACAGTGCTCTGCAACCTGTGCAAGAAGCTTTCACACAAGCAGATACCATCCTGAGTGAGTCTGAGCCCCTAGGAACAAACGTAGACAAAATCCGCGAGGAATTAGAACAAGTGAGGGATCTGAGATCCACATTGGATGATCGCAAGCCAGATATAAAACAAATCAACCAGTCAGGCAACATGTTACTCTCAGGCGTAGAGCAAACACCATTGAGTGCTGAAATTAAAGAGAAACTMGATGCTACTAACGAGAAAGCTAAAAATACTCCTGAAAAACTACGAGAAAAGGAAAAGGCTCTGGAAAAAGCACTTAATGATGCTACTGAATTCAATACAGTCCTTGAAGATATTGAAACGTGGCTTCCCGCTGAGCAAGAAGTTGTAAACAGCCTTGAATCTGTCAGCACTGAGCCAGAAAAGATCAAAGAACAAATCAAAGACACCGACAAARTCCTTGAAGAAGTTAAACGCTACCTYGTGAGACTGCATCACTTGGAGGAAGTTGGRCAGCGATTGATTGAAGACAATGTAAGCGACCCGAAYACTGTAGCTGACATTCAGAATAAAATTGAYAAAGTAAGAACACCTTTGGAAAAGCTSTGTGGTAAACTTGARCAGCGCAGTGCAAGACTCCARAATGCCGCCATCGAATCACAAGAATTCCAAGACTCGTGTAATGATTTCGTTGGACGTCTTGGAAATATTGAAGATCAGCTGGTCGACGACGCTCCTATTTCCCCCGAGTACCAGGAAACCAAAAAGCAGAAAGAAGACAATGAGGATGTTCAGGATCTTATTGACCGAGAGGAACCTGTATTTGAGAATCTAATGAAAGCTGGAGAAAGAGTGCTTGAGACTGCAGAGCCCGGAGAAGAGAAAAAGACCGTCGCAAAGAAGCTTGCTGAACTAAAGGATCGTTGGGAAGCTACAAAAGAAAAGGCAAARAAACGTGACGAACAGATAGAATCTGTGTTACCGGACGCGCAGGAATATCACAAGGCTCGTACAACACTAGAGCCATGGCTTRCGGAAGCGGAGAAAAAGATTTCAACAATCAATATATCTTCAAGTGAYCCTGATGATATCAAAAAACARGTTGGCGTTCTGGCTGCCCTGAAAGCCGACATGGCTAATCGTAAACCCGAATACCAATCCCTTAACAATGCAGCTGAATCTTTGATTGACAAGTGTCCTGACAACAGCTATGTCATTGATGCTCAGGTAAARGACATAAATCGACGCTGGAATACCTTGCTTAAGGACATCGAAGATAAAGGAGAATCTCTTTCTGRTGCTCAGAATGCGTCAGAGAAGTTGCAAGAGGACATCAATTGTGTTGAAGCTGCAATTAGTAAGGCTGAAATGGCACTGGAGGCCTGTGAACCTACCATTGAACCAGAAGTCGCTAAAAGAGACTTYGCTAACGTCGAAGCAGCATTACAATCACTTGAGGACTGTGAACCAGCGAAGAACGAGGCGGACAAGATGGCGGACGATCTTCTTAACAATATGGATGAGTCCTCAACAAGTGCCATTATGCTCAAGAAAAAAATGGACAACTTGGACGAGAGATATACAACAACTTTAAACGCGACTAGAGAGAAAAAAGGACAGCTAAAGAAATGCGTCGTWCTGATTGTYGAGTTCGTTGAAATCTACGAAGAGATTACCATCTGGATCGAAGAAACTAAACCTGTTATTGACTCGGYTAAGGAAATCAGCAGTATTCCTGTTGTAGTGAAAAGTCAGCTTACTGAAGTTGAATTGCTACAGGATAATGTTGCTGATAAAAARCGAGATCTCSAAAAAGCAGAAGAAATAGGCGAACAGCTTGTTGAATGCTGTGACAAGAACCCTWCCGTCGTAAGCGAAGTCAATCTTAAACTTTCTAAAGTCAAGGCTCCTTTGGAAACCATCGCAGCAAAGATCGATAACCGACAAGTCAAACTCCAGATGATTGTCCTACAGACACAAGCTTTTCAAGATACTGTGGACGATTTTGAAGGCAAACTATCGAAGGTCGAGGATGACCTGGCGCGCATGCTTCCTGTGTCTCCTGTTTACGAGCGTGTTCGAGAGCAAACCCACGAACTCGATGAAGTTGCAGACGACGTCAAGCTACTCGAGCCTGTTTATGGACGAYTGTCTAGCTGTGGATWTGACGTTCTAGAATCTTTGGAACCCGGAGAAGAGAAAGAACGACTTAAAGACAAACTCGATGACATTGAGAAACGGTGGRTCAACGTCAAGGATAAGGTCGGTGATCGTAAAGCCAACCTACAATTAGTGACTCCCGAAGCAAAGAAATACTCCGAGAACTCTCACGCTTTGATGCCTTGTTTGGAGGACGCCGAAAGCTATCTATCGTCTTGTGGTCCTGTACCATGCGACGAGAAGAACCTAGCACGAGAAGAGAAAACTCTTCAAGATCTGTTAGATAATGTCGATGACAAGAAACCAGTTGTMGAACAGCTGAATGACGCTGCAAGGTCTTTGTCTGAAGTCTGTGAAAATCCTGAAGTTACTCAAGCAGAAGTCAAAGATGTCAACAAACGATGGGCCACTGTCTTGGACGGGTTACAAAGGAGAAAAGATCAAGTAGATAATGTTAAACAATCTTTAGGAGAGTTAAAGAACGTTATTGAACCAGTTACGGTGACTTTGGAAGAAGCTCAACCTATTCTGGAAGCTCCTACATCTTATGGTGCTGATGTACAGAAAAGCGAAGATGAATTGAAAAAGATCGATGTAAGTTAACATTCATGCGTCTTTGTATCGTTTTGCATTGTTTTCTAATCCCGTTTAAGTTCTCAAAACATACAAAATATCGTGTTGCCGGTTTAAACATCCCGCCATCCATACGATACGAGAAATGTATAGAGGCAAAGAAAACACGACCTATAATAATCGTAGGCCCATGTTTAAGTGAGCTTTTGTGATATTGCTAACRTTTGAATATGTGTCGACATTGCAGGATCTTTTGGAATATCTTAATGATCAGCAACCAGGTGTACAATCACTAAAAGAYAACGTGGGCTCACTTATGAATCAAGTCGATGATAAGTCTCCAGATGCCATCCGTGTCAAAAATGACGTCAGCAATGTTAACAATCGATACGATGACGTCATTAATAAGCTCCAAGACCGCAAAGCACAGCTGGGAGATGATGTCACCAATGCTAAGGAATTCAACGATTGTTTGTATGAACTTGAAGAYTGGTTGCCTGATGTACAAGATCGTGTTGCTAAGCAAGAACCAATCAGCACGGAGCCTGAAACGGTCAAGGCACAACTTGAAAAAGCACAGGTCAGTTGAAACAAATTCCGTTTACCAACGCAAATTCCTAAATTCACTTATTTTATTGATGCCTCATTGAAAATCGAATAATTCAAATACATATCAGGTCAGCAGACAGACTGTAAACTCAGGAACATTGTGAATTGCCGTCCTAAAAAAATATGGAAGGCTGTTCCAAATTTGATTGCCCAAGTYCATTATGACGTCACATCAAAACATTCTATTGTTTATACTCTAAGGATTATGGTCGCCAGAGGGGATCAGAGTGACTGCATATCAACTAAATTGTACATTAGCAATAATTTGTACATGATACTTTAGGAGACAATATGTACTTGAGCATCGTTTCRCATTATGCAGCATTAATTGGAGCCATGGTGTCCTGGAAAATATATTTAATTTCACATAACCACAATACTAGTTTTGAGAAAAAGAAAWTACATTACTTTAAGCATTACTAAGGTTTAAATTTMCAACATTTSAGTAATAAARAAAGGACGCGATAAAATGCTAATTCTTTACGGTCTAATGATTGTGACAAATTGGCCAATACTTCACAAAATTTACTGGAAAAGAAACCTGTCAGCCTTTATTTAGGTTTTGTGATTTGTGTCATGAAAGTATATGGAAAATGTAGATTCTTAAAAACTGTTGATAACTGAATAGTGCAGTATTTTGCAAGAATGTATGATATTTATATCTTATAATTGATAGGCTTTCTTAAGTGTATTATCTACTTCATTTTCGTTGTCTGATTGTCCATGCGTGAAAACGATGTTCTAGATAGCCAGAATATTAAGTCACTCCAGATTCTTCTTATAAAATGACCTATTTTCAATACATAGAATCAATTGACTGAACTCTCTCTCGATTTAACAGTGTGTCAAAATAAACTAAGCTTACAAATTCCAAAACAGGTCTTTCGATTTGCAAACCTGGCTGGTTCTGGACGGACGCTCGAAAAGTGTTTGCMTTTCAAACAATAACAATACATTCTCAAGGATTAGTCACGTAAACAGTGATAAATTCAGTTAGGAGATTTTCATTRTAGATCCACATGCAGGGACTTGTACACATCACAGGTGGCTCGCACAATATACTAGCGATTCTCATGCGAAGCCCATGTTGATGAATAAGTAATAGACTGTAGTAATAAGAATCTAAATTGCCATGGTGCCCTTTTAAGACCTCTGTGGTCATGAAGTAGTGCTATGACTGGCTCAAATYAGTGATTATGGAGAGGGTTTTGGTCCCGAGGAAGCGAAAAAGGACTTTACTTGGTCAAGTCAGCGGGAGAGTGGTTATCGTTAACCCCGAGGAACTATCACTAGGCAATGGAMCAGTTGATGGAGACTTCATTCTTGTAATATATCGTGATTATTGMYTTTGAACTACTTCATCTGCTATGAATWTAAGTTTAAGCTTTGCATACTTTTACTCCATGCCAAAATTATAGTTTTTGAGTTGTTTTTGAAGCGCTGTTAGATTTGTATTCGGTCATAGGTTCTACTGTTATTTTGTTGTGTATCGAGATAACGATGCACAAATCAGYCAACTGTGTTTGTTGTTCCTCAATTGTTTTTCTTTCAAGAAGAGTTTAATCCGAATAGCACTAGATATTTAGCGAAGCATATGATTGTTATTCGTCGGTTGAATGGAGCTTGTAGTTAGTTGTTTCCCGTTGTGACTTGAGCAGGTACCGGGATAAACCTTTATCCCGCCATGAATTGACAACTACAGTGTGTATTTTGACAATTTCCTGAAAATTATTTGTCCTTAAATTGTCCTTAAATTTGCTGTTAATATTTTTGCTTAATGTTGTTTTGTTKTATTTTTGTCATTTATTTGAATAGGAATATTGTGCAACAGGTTGTTTAATGGAAATATATGAATACTGTGGCATGCAGATAATTTAATCGTAATTTTAAGTCTTACGGTCATTAATGCTTTTATACGCTTCAATTRTAATTAATGTCTCTCTCTGTATTCGTTTTTTCAGCTTCTAAAAGATGACATTGCTCAACACAAAGCAACTCTCCAGAGAGCTGAAAATGCCGGCCAGAGGCTGATTGCCAGCAGCAAAAACAACCCTGCTGTTGTAGCTGATGTGTATGGTAAACTAAACAAAGTCCGCACAGCTCTTGATGCTTTAGCTGCAAAGGTTGACCAGCGACAGAACAGACTGCAGAATGTCCTGCTGCAAAGCCAGGAATTTCAAGTGTCCTTTGAAGATTTCCTGGACAAGCTTGGAAATATCGAGGACCAGATTGGCAAGCTTGAACCAGTGTCTGGAATACACGAGAAAGCRAAAGAACAAGGACAAGAACATAAGGTAACACTAATTTTTACTAAATGCTTGCGAAATTTGCTCAGAATTACTGACCTCTAGCTCGCCTCATTTGACATTAACAATTACAATAAAATTAGGCGATTAAAAGTTACAGTGCTCATTTTAATTGTTTTTTTTTTTGTTTGTTTGTTTGTGTTTTTTTTTTTGTATTGTTGTAGATGTCTTACAATTTAATTTAAATTACCATCAATGGAAAGTATCAAATGATGATTTTTATTTTTAGGCTATCCGAGATGCGGTCGCTCAACTGGAACCAGTCTATAACCAGCTCATGAAAGCCGGTCACAATGTCCTTGATACCTCTGAGCCTGGTCCAGACAGAGACGCCCTAGAACAGAAGCTTCATGATACCACCACAAGGTTCAACGACATCAAAGAAAAAACTGCCGATCGCCAGGAACGCTTAGACAAGGTTGTACCTCTATCGCGAAAACACAAATACGAAAGTCAAACATTCAARCCTTGGCTGACAAGCGCTGAAAAACGATTTGCAGCTGTAAATCCTGATACAGTCGATAAAACAGTTCTTGATAACCAGTTAAAAATGTTAAAAGATCTAGACAATGAGGTAGAGGATCGTAAGCCAGACTTGCRAGAGCTTAACGACACGACAGCCGACCTTGTCGAAAGCTGTCAAGCTGACCGATTTATAATCGAAGGTGACACTCAAGACGTCAATAAACGATACGACTCTCTTGAAGCTGACGTCCAAACAATGGAGAATAAGATGCAAGAAATCAAGGAAGGTGTTGWGAAGTATGAAGAWGCTGTCCTTCCTGTACAGAAYGTTCTTGATGAAATCGAGAAAGCTATCAAATCTCACGAACCAGTTGGCATTGACTTGGAGAAAGGGAAGAACGACGTTAAAGATGTTGAAGATCTTCTGGAGAAACTGGAAAAACTGAAGCCCGAAATGATCAAAGCTAAACAAGCTGGTCTTGAACTGGCTAATAGCATGGATGAAAAGTCTCCAAGCGCTTTGGATTTGAGAAACGACGTCGATGCGCTGGCTGATAGATATARCGATTTGCAGGACAAACTAGCTGACCATCRGAAGAAGGTTGACGATGAGATCAAGCTGGCCGAAAAGTTCCATGACACCCTAAATGCGCTGGAAGAAAAGCTCCCCGATATCCAAGAATCTGTTGGTGCACAAGGACCTATTAGTAGYGAACCTGATATGGTGAAGAAGCAATTAGAACAAGCTGAGGTAAGTTGATTGATGATTAATAAGATAATAACTTATTAATGATAATTTATGATAATACTAGTGACTGATTAAAAATAAACCACGATATTGGTAAGCTTGACRCATTTTGCCATCCTCTACAAATGTTTAATAATTTATTGCTAAACGCTCCTTTTTCTAGGATCTTCGAGATCAGATCAACCAATGYAAGGCGATGCTTGATTCGTTAGRGGACACGGGTAAAGAGATTATTGACGAAAGTAATGAAGACCCGCGGGTCGTTCGGGACATACGTGGAGAGCTAAACAAGTTAACAGCGCCATTGGACGTAGTTGCCCGTAAAGTCAACGAACGGCAAGCCAAGCTTCAAGGCGTGCTACTACAGTGCCAAGAATTCCAGGTTTCATGTGAAGATTTCTTGGATAACCTGGGTGATTTAGAAGCCAACGTCGCTTCGCAAGAGCCTATCTCAGCCTTGTTAGGAAAGGTTAGAAAACAGAAACAGGACAACGAAGCAGTACAAACTGCTGTAAACCAACAAGGACCAGTTTTAGACAAACTTCTTGGAGCTGGAGAAGCCGTTATCGAAAATCTTGACGACGAACAAGAAAAAGACACTATGAAAAAGAAGATAGATGACATGAAAGAGAGATTTGAAAAAGCCAAAGAACAGACTGATGACAGACAAAGCAAACTCGAGAATGTCGAAGAAGAAGCTCAGAAATATAGAGTTRACGCTGACTCATTGGAAGCCATGYTRKCTWCGGCMGAAGAACAAGTGAATGGCTTTGCACCTTTATCTTCTGACAAAACCAAACTCGCTAAGCAACGCGAAATGCTCGAGCAAATCCAACAGGCGGCAAACAAGCTGAAATCCGACGTCCCACAAGTTGAAGACAATGCCGACGCCTTGAAGAAGGACGCAGAGGCCGATATCAWTGTTGTGGAAGACGAAGTAGACAGCCTGATAAAGAGAATCGATAATTTGAAAGCCACTSTAGCAGATCGCGAAGAACAGCTTTCTGCAGTTGAGCAAGCAGCGGAGGATTATCACGTGACTGTTGCCCAAGTCGAGGACGTTTTCGCAAGTGCCTATGACGACGTTGATGCGCCCGCGTTATTCGGCATTGATTCGGATAAAGCAGCGGAGCAGCTTAATAAGATCAAGGTAAAAGAATATGCAGAACGTTACGTGTTACAGCATTTATTTTTGTAAATGAAACCTGTGATCAGTAAAAGCTAGTTATTGTATTGCAACTGTAGCTACAAATGCAGAAACCGTGCAAAACTCAAAGCCTTCTTTTATTCATCGCGTCTTTAGTTCGTAGTWTTAACTTCTTCTTKTTTGTTTAGTCTTTGAAAGCAAATCTTGGCGATAAACAAACAGACCTCGATAAAGTCAATCAGTCAAGCGAAACACTCCTACAGCGCGTACCAGAGGATTCTGGTGACCATGACGTTGTTCGTGTTAAAGTGTCGGAACTTTCGTCCAAATTCACAGATCTACATGATAAGCTTCGTGCCAAAGAGGAGCAGCTTGAGGAAGAAGTCAATAAAGTCAAAGAGTTTAATGATAAAGTGAAAGAACTGGATGACTGGCTGGACGGAGCTAAGGAAAAGCTAGCTGGAGTAGGTCCTATTAGTACAGATCCTGAAGCTGTCAAAAAACAGCTCGAAGAAATCGAGGTGAGTGTCTTATAGTGAAATTTTGGGATTTTATTTGTGGCATTAAGCAAAATAAACATGAAGGGTTAGTAGAAACCACTTGAAATAGTAATTAGCAAATCACTAATAAGTGGATGATTGTTTGAGTGATTKGTTAAATGGGACAAAATTATTGACAGTGTGTATGAGTAAATAAGTGTAAGAAGTAAATATACAACGAGTGATAAACAAACACTGACGYTAGATTTTTATTTCAGGAACTTAAGGCACAACTTGAAGATCACAAGCCAACWGTGAATGAAGCCAACGATCTCTGCGACTGGCTAACCGACAAGAACAAAGACCAACCATTAGTAGCAGCCTCWATCAAAGATAAGTTTGACAAAGTCGAACAGCCGTATAACGATTTAAGAGCAAAGGTACTTGACCTGGAAGGTCGCTTGCAGGCTGCTCAAATGAGAACACAGGAATTCCAGGTGTCTTACGATGACTTCAAGGACAAACTTGGGGATATGGAAGAACAGGTCGCAGACTTGAAACCCGTATCTGCTGTGTACGAAACCGTAAAGGATCAAAACGAACTTGACGAGGTAAGCATTTCGGGCGAAATGATTGAAATCATCGTCAATATCATAGTCTTCCGTGTCATCTTCATCATCACAAGCAATTATCTAGTACCATTATCTTCATCGTTATTACCATCATATAATCGTCATCATTATGCAGTCATTCTACGATTCTAACATAAATGTTCAGTTTATTTTTAGCTTGGCTGCTTAAAGGATAAAGTCTTTTTAACAAAACAATTTTTTGTGTACAGATTTTGTCTGAAAAGATGATGAAACAAGAACCTGTTTTCGACCARCTAATRAGAACTGGCAATAATCTACTGGAGAGCACTGAACCTGGCCCAGAGAAAGACGAGCTGCAGAGCAAACTTGACGACATGAAGAAACGCTGGGACGACATCAAGGAACACGTTGCAAATCATAAAGCCAAAGTCGATGCCGCTCTTCCTGAAGCTGSCAAGTACTCTGARGCAGCAGAATCACTCGAGCCATGGCTTACAGACACAGAACAAAAGCTTACCTCACTTGATCCCATCAGCGCGGATGASAAAGTCGTCAAAGACCGTCAGGAATTAGTTAATGACATGAAAAATGACATCGAGAAGCACCGACCGGAGCGTGACGCGGTTGATGAAAAATCTTCATCAGTTGTCGATTTGTCAGAAACAGACAAAGAGGCAGTGGAATCCCAAGCTAAAGATCTCATTGATCGGTTTGACAAGTTAAATGCTGATTGCGCAGATCAAGAAAAAGAGTTGAAAGATGTACACGATGCATTGGCCGTCTATTCTGATGCGTTGACACCTGTACAAGACGTACTTGACAAAGCAGAGGACCTCGTTGGTGGCGACGATGTAGTAAGTGGAGACGTTGACAAGAACAAGGAGGAACTAGAAAAGATTAAAGTAAGTAGTGAATCTCACGGRAAGACGGTACGGCTAGGATAACAATTGCACATGATTYAAATACGAATTATGGATGCGCTTAATACTGCCACACCTTCATGTGATGAGGTTTATTASGCATGACTAGAAGTACTTTTCTCACATTTATCAACTAACGCATTATCTTTTTCATTTATTCAGTGCGTTAGTTRTAATCTTTACGCATAAATTTCTACATTTAGAATAAGATCTGTACTCAACATATARAACTTCATGTATTTTAGGAGCTGATTGGAAAACTCGAAGATGCGAAACGACCACTTGAAGAACTAAAAGACGCTGAGGACAAAGCTGCGAATACCGTCAAAGACGTTGGAGGAGATGCTGCTCCAATTGACGAAGAATTAAATGCTATCCTTGAAAAATATCAAGAATTGTTAGACAAAGCCAAAGCCAAAGAAGAAGAACTTGAAAAAGCCGTGAACCAGGGCGGTAAACTGAAAAACATCATCATCGAAATAGAGGAATGGATTATAGAAACTGAGGAAGTCGTAGAGGTCTGGGAGCCAGTGAGCACTGATCCTGATACGGCGAAGAAACAACTTGATGATGTCAAAGTAAGTAGCGCAGTAAAACGACGCATATRATACTACATATAGTACATATAATAGTACATAATAGTACATATTGAAGAGGGTCCTCTGCAGCATTCCCCTGAATTCATAAATTTTATCTTTTTACAGGGCATTGAGAAAGGTGTAATTGAACACAAAGACGCCCTCGATAAAGCTAAAGAAATCAAAGAGGAAGTGGTAGCCACCACCAATGACCCTGTCATGGCCGCCAATCTGGAAGAACAGCTCAATAACTTAGACGACCGGCTCAACGCGCTGGACAGCAARRCTAAKGACCGAAAGTCAACATTAGAAGGCGTGATATCTCAAGGTGACGCTTTTGAAAACGAATTTGATGATTTCCTGAAATGGTTGACCAAAGCAGAGCGACAGCAGGCTGCACTCAGACCCATTTCAGCAGACGTTGATATGGTGAAGCATCAGAAGAACGAGTACCAGGTACGTCTTGAAAGTCAAAAACTTCTTTGAGATACTGTTCTGTGTTAGGGTCCTGGTAWATATGTGATATCATGATAAATTAACTTTTGAAGGCATGCTGTATAATAGAGATTGTGATGCAATTTACACAGCCTGATGATGCGCATGTCACAGTCGCGCTTTTTTGTTTTTTAAGGAGAAGTGTCACTCGTGAATAATTCTTGATTTTTAATGGGTCGAGATCATTGTAGATGTATTAGAAAGTTCAACTCGTTCAAAAAGCAACTTAAGTCATGTTTATTTGACGTGGGAGATTCACTTTTATAATATTTCTGTKATAGCCAATTTATCAAGGAATCCTCGAGAAAGAACCTGTTTACGAAGCGRTTWTAAAGTCCGGCGAAGACTTGAAGAAGGCCAGCGAAGTCCAGGACGAGAAAGACAACTTGGAGCATAAGCTAGGTGACGTCACMCGAMGATGGACTGAGTTGAAGGCTGTGTCTCGCGAACGTGAAAAACGTCTCGATGAAGCAGTSGAAGCAACGACAAAATACCAAGAGCTAAAACATCAGTTCGTTCCTTGGCTAGATGAAACAGAGAAGTCTTTGGAAGACATCAAACCATCTTGTGATGTGGAGAAACTGGCAGAGCAAGAAGAGAAATTGAAGGTACACGACATACATGTGTGTCRTAGTTTTCGTCGCTGCGAGGTGGTTTGCTAACGATGATTTACTCCTGCTTTCGTTGAAATATTGCCCTTTTTAGTATTATTGTAGTATTTGTTATTTGCTGTTCTTCCGTGCATTTGTTTGCTGTTGATCCACTTATGGTGCGAGATTTGGGTCCTGTTTGATTTGCTTTAGATTTTGCCTAGTTGGGGATTATTTTTTGTGAGTGAACGTTCACTGCTGTCTCGWGACAAAAGCTTTTAACTTGATGAACTTGTATGATTAATTAACAGAATCTCCAAGAAAACATCGAAAATCACGAACCCGATCACGTGGATCTCGACGAGGCGGCTAATGAAGTAATTAACATATGCGCCGAGGAGGTCACAGCTGTAGAAGAAGAGATCGCGGACATCGACAAACGTTGGGACAACCTCAGCAAAAACCTACCCGAAAAAATAGACAAGTTGAAARCMCTTCAAAATCAACTCGAGAAATACCAATCTAATCTAAGTCCAGTCAACGAMAAACTTACTGACATTCAAAACAAGGCCGCTGTCCAAATGACACCCGTGGCAGACCTTGATAAAGTCAAGGATCACCAGCAAGAATTGCAAGAGTTAATGGACGATTTTGAAAARCTTAACCCTTCATTCGTGGAAACCATTGAATCTGGTCAAGACATTCTGGATGGTAACCCTGAGCTWGACACCCTACCCGTACAGAAGGAGAATGAAGAATTACAAGATAAGKCTACAAGTCTCAARGCTCAACTGGCTGATAARCTGGCCAAGGCGTCTGCTTTAGCCGATGATTTGGAGAAGTATTTGGAGAAAGAGAAAGAGTTGTCAAAGGGAATAGATAACGTGAATGACGATTTGGAGAAAAAYAAGCCAAACAAGATGGATGTTGATCTTGTGAAGGAACAACTGGAAAATACAAAGGTATGATTATAATGGATTACTTCTTTTACTCAATAACAATAACAGTGAAACAAAAAGAAAKTTATTGATATGTGTTATTTTGGTTTAGGCTCTCAAAGATCGTCTTAACGGCATGGAACCAGAATACAATGACGTGAACGAATGCGCTCAGAATCTGATCAGCGATGGCCTTGGTTCAGACCCAGCATTTGTTAAACAAATGGCCAAYACAGACAAGACCTGGCACGATGTCAACGATGCAGCAGACAATCAAATTAAGGGCTTGRARAAAACTCTCRACCAGTTGAATACGTTGCAAGACGCACTTCAAGACGCCGATGAAGCAATTAGTGCCTTTGAAAAGAAGGTCGCTAATCAACCACCCATTGGTACAGATGCTGAGACCATTGAACAGCAAATTGAAGATCTCAAGGTAAMAACCAGATATGCACAAAAATTTACCGCTAGAAAAAGCTTTAAATAAAACAGCTCRCRAAGTTAACYAAGTGCTGRAACTGACATTAATTGACTKRAATTTTATCCTWCAGGAGCTCCAAAAAGAAGCTGATGAACTGGGCGAAAAAATAGCTGACTTGAACGACCAAAAGTACCGCCTCGCCATTACAAAYCCTACTGCAGATACYAGTGATATAGATGCAGTCATCGCAGACCTGAGCGAACGGGTGCTTGGAGTGAATCAAGACATCTCTGACCGTCAGAGTAAACTCGAACAAGCTTTGCTTCAATTTGGCAAGTTCCACGAGGCAATGGCTTCATTACTGCAGTGGCTCGCAGAAACCAGAGACTTGTTGGAGAGCCAGGGTAGTGTGTCAGCCGCTGAACCTAAAGTGGTGAAGGCTCAAATAAACGAACAAAARGTGAGTTCTATTCTGCTTTGGAAATTGCCGTCTAAAGAAGATCTGTTATTGTTAACAGAATTTTGAGTGGTACCAAGATTAAAGGAATTAAGATTTTATATTACATTGATGATTTTCTACTTTATCACTACCGATCTTAATTCGATTTTGATTGCTTAACAGCTACTGATGAAAATGATTGCTGACCGCAAGCCAGGCGTAGACTCGCTCCAGGAAACTGGCCGCGAGATCCTTAAGACCGCCGATGACGAAAAGAAGGCCGATATCGAAGTTGGACTGGCTGATATCAATTCCCAATGGGTCGAACTGAACGAACTTGTTGAAGCCAGGCAGAAACAACTCGATGATGCACTTGAAGCATCGCAAAAGTTCGATGATCTTTACAGAGAGGCCAGCAAGAAATTGTCCGAAATCGAGACTCAGATCAAAGACGACGAGTTGGACGCTGCAAAAGCTTCACCTGAAGACGTAACAAAACAGCTGGAGAAACTTGATGTAAGTGTTAAGTTAATATCTGTCAACATGACAACATTTTATATACGACAAGGCCGTTTAATTTTGAAAGAAGCATTTATGATTTAAGTTCCCCACGTTAACGGAACATGAATAGCCTTAACTAAGCAGATTTTTTGTAATTAAGCGAGGGAATGTCTCTAAACTTTACCAAAGTTGGTACAGTACTGACTGCATTGGATTTCTTTCTTTCAGAACATTTGCAAAGAGATTGAAACTCTTGCTCCACTTGTTAAAGACGCTCTAAAAGCCGGTGAACAACTTCTGCCCCATTGTGACGAAGATGACAAAGACCTTGTMAAGATGAAGATGGACAAACTGAACAACAAACACCAAGATCTTTTGCGTAATTTCGACGAAAAACGCGACAAAATCAAGGACGCCAAAGAACTTTCGGAAAAATGCTTCAACGGGAAAGATGATTTGATGAGCTGGTTTGATGAGATGGAAAATAAGTTGGCTGCAGCCAAGGAAGACGGAATTGAAGCAGGAGAACAACAAGCAAGACTTAAGGTATGAATGTTATGAACCCATTGATATATTCGTGGTAGAAAGTGTGTGGGTGTGAAGATCAGACGAAGACAGAGAAGTAGGATATTTGAATGAAAATGAAATTCTTCATTTTTGCGACATTGTTGATCAAATTGTGCCATCTTTTGATGGCAATTTATAGTTGGACGTCTCTTCTGAAGGTTAAACAATATTCATAGTACTTTGAGTGTAATGGATCATTTGATATTGTCATCAGGAATTACAGGAAGCCATCAACGACAAAGAACCAGAAATCAAGGCGCACAAACAAGCTGCTGATTCATTGAAGAAACTTGTTCTTGACGATGAAGTCCCTAAAGTCGACGAGGCGTCAGATGAAGTAGAAGACAAGTGGAAAGCACTGTGTGCGGATGTCGATAACTTGGCTAACACTATGTTCTCTGCAAAGGAAMGAGTGGACGCCTTCCAGGTAGAGCTTGGCGATATCRAGAAGTGGTTGAAGGAGACTGAGGAAACGATTGCTGCTCTGGAACCCGTCGCTGTTGTACCTGAAAAGGTCAAAGAACAACTAGCTGAACAAACGGTAAGAGAAACAGACCTAACGGGACGAGGAATCTTGAACGAMATTACCCTTTGTATATCTGACTAAACTGAGCAAGAAATCTCCTATACATTTCGAAGAACATTTGATTGAAGTCTTAATGATATCTGGGTTTCTCTATGTTTGGCCACCATTAGTTTACACATTCCTACCACTGTGGCCACATCCTTGTTACTTAAATCTTTCTCATGAGATTTGTTGTATGATTTTAACAAAAACGTTTGTAATATTCTACTAGCCTTTGAACACAGACGTAGCATCCCACTCTAAACCCGTCGRGTCAGTCTGTGAAACAGGACAGTCACTCCTTGTCGCGCTCAAAGACGACGAACAGACCGCAATGAAGGAAAAACTCGACGATATCAAACAGCGTTACAAAGCAGTCAGCGATGACACCACTAAAAGACAGGCGCATCTCGTAGAAGCCTTGCTCCTGTCCCAACAGTTCCGAGATCTCTATAAGGAGAGTGTCACCTGGTTAGATCGATGTGARGAGAGTTTGAAAAAACTGGATGAAGAGRGTCAGTCTTCTGAACTTCAGCAAGAGCGCGTTAAGGTAATTATCTCGATGGCAGTTTTGAAGAAGCGCATATGCTTCTTTACTGACAAATATTTTCAAACGTCAAATCAACCAATCACAACCACGCGTYTAACATCCAATAGAAAATCGCTTATATTTYCTGACATTTGATTGGGTAGGCTCTTCAATACCGAAAATAGCACCTTRATTTTGTTCTCCAATCCAGTCGTGACCAAGGCTGATAAATATTTTGGATTTCGGTTTAGAACTATCTTAAAAATGATATTTTAATGCGTTGAAAGTAATCTTGGATTAATAGGTTAGGAACTGACCAATCGTATTGAATACAAATAACCCAGTTTATTTGTGCTAAATTGAGATGGAAYWCCATCAAAACAACCAATTTATTATTGAAGCTGCTTCGCTTTCATGTTGCTGGTAATGACGACCTTAATGTATCTCGTCAATCCTGCTTTATGGGTAATTATAAAAAAAATTATAAAGCTTGGTTTTTCTTTTATAGCGAAATGATGCATATCTAGATTGCTTTCTCCGTGTTTACTCCAATTTCGCAKTGGCAAATGTCGTTTGCTGTCCTTAAAATCTATTATWATTTTTTCGTTACTTTATTGTTTTACTTCCATTCTTACCTATCTCATTTTATGCGCTTTTATTCTTTAATTTTSTTATATTTATTTATCTGATTTTTATTCCATTTTTTAATCAGACAATCCAAGAAGGCATCTCAGCTCTGCGAAGTCTCATCGCCAGTGTAGAAGACACCGGAAGCGACTTGACAGAACTAAGCGGTCCAGGTGAAGGTTCAGCCTTCATTGAACACARAGCGACAGAATGCCGCGAAAGATACGAACGACTTTACGCGCTGACAGAAGAAAGAGGAATCAAGATTGGCATCACTCTGCAACAGGAGGAACAAATTGAACAAAAACTTGAAGAATTATTGAGTGCTTTGGAGAGAAARCGAGATGACTTCAGTAGTTTGGATCCAGTTGGGGTGCAGCCCGAGACGATACGTGAACAGATGGAATTCATGAAGGTAGGAAGACGCAATACTTGCTTTTCTCAGAAAAAAGTCAAATTCAACTTTTCACCCTCGTTTATGTTATGAAAGCACCCTAATTTTAATTAATTATGTAGTAAGGCAGCTTAAGCTKTCTTAGTTTATARGTKTTCACTGGTCAAGGGTGCTACMTTTTCCTGTTAATGATTTTTAAACAGCATAGCCATTTGWTGTTGCTTTTAGYTTGARTAGAAGCAAATTGAGTTTACTCTTTRGTTTTTGTGMGTATTTTCTGTCAATATTTGTATGGTTAGTATATGGTCATTTGCGGTTAMCATCTACCTGCTATTTTGAATTTAAAGGATTATCATTTTAATGTGCATTAATCCATCTAATTTCAAACAATAATGGCTCCTGCAGTTTCTTACTTTTTAAAAAAATATCAATATTGCATATTCAAAAATGTCAAAATTTGAATCACATCATTACGTGACATTTGACAAAATATTTATTTACTTTAAAATTCCCCAGAGAAATTGTGAAAATGCTTAACTTTTCCATCAGAAATCTATGAAATGGGAACCTTCAAAAAACTTTGAAATAAAGGTGAAAACTCTTTTTCATCATTTCAGGGTATCCAGTCTGAATTCGAACCCGATAAAGAGGCCGTCAATGAAGCAAAGGTTTCAGTGGAGGGCATTGTAGCTCATAATCCAGACTCTAAGACCTCGCAGCTAATCAAAGACAAACTCAACAAAGTGTCAACWTTAGCTGGTGAATTACAAGATCAATACGACGARMGAGAGGAAGCCCTCAAGAAATCACTCGAAGCAAGCGAAAAGTTCTGGCCAGGACTTGAGGAACTGAAGCACATTTTGAAGGATGTGCAAGAAACGTTGGACTCCGAAGAACTACCTGCTGCAGA